GCACAATTAGAGAATAACTATCAGGAGCTGATTTCTCTCCTTCCCCAGGGGATCAAACTTGAGGTTGGATTATGTCCCAAGGAAGCCTTTCCTCAGGCCTGTCCTGTGAAGTGTGGCTTCACAGACCCCTTCCCCAAACCTGTCAGGGAGCTGGACGCCCTGGCCTTATGAAAGAACTATCAGGGATCATCCCCATGAAGGTGTGAGCTGTCTTTGCCACAAATCTCTCTCTCGTAGCATGAAGGGTTTTGGTTTTTTGTTTTGTGTTGTGTTGTTCTTGGAACAGGATTTCACTGTGTATCTCTGGAACTTGCTTTGTAGACCAGGCTGGCCTCGAACTCACAGAGACCCACCTGCCTCTGCCTCCCGAATTCTGGGATTAAAGGTGTGAGCCACCTACATGCCTGGCTGATTTGATTGTTTTGTGAAGTATATATGTATCAAGGCAAATGTAACATGTGACACATATACATATATATATAACTGTTTGTTGATTAAAAATAAGTTTTGTTTTGTTTCTTTTTTTAAGAAACTAAACTTCCTTGACACAAACATTCTTTAAAATGGAATAGATGCACTGAGAGTACAGCTCTGTGGTAGCACTTGCCCAGCATAGCAGAGGCCGCTGTTTCATTCCCAGTACTGTAAAAAGTATAATAAGGGGTGGCACACATCTTTAATTCTAGCACTCAGTAGGCAGAGGTAGGCGGATCTCTGTGAGTTCAAGGCCAGCCTAGACTGCAAAGTGAGTTCCAGGACAGCCAGGGCTACACAGAGAAACCCTGCCTCTAGAAAAAAAAAATAAAACAAGGCTAAAAGATCTGGGCATGGTGGTACACACCTTTAACCACAGGAAACCAAGACAGGAGACCAGGCTCAGAATAGGCAAGTAAAGAGTAAGTTTGTAACATGCTCAGGTGACATTCGACAGGCTGCTGCCAGGTTTGAAAGGAGCTCCACTGTGAGTTTGGGTAAGCCTGTGCAGGTGCCCCTTCGCCACAGGTCACTGCAGGCTGATGGACTTGAAGTGGGCTGTAATCATACCCATGTGCTCACTGACATGGGTAGGGCTGCCTCATGGCTTAGAGAACTTCCAGAGGATCATGTTTGGACAGTGATTTATGGAAGGCACTATATACCAGAAGCTCTTAACACAAGCTAAACATGGAGCTGATAGAGGTGAGCAGGCTCTGGCCCCCAGCAGCAGAGTCAGAACCACTGCTGTCCTAGACCCAGATGAGAGAGCCCCTGGGCTGCCTTCCCAATGTGCTCAGTAAGCTTTAATCACTGCTTTAGACTGTGCTGAAGCCCCAGACCCCAGGATTCCTGAGACTACTGCTTCCAGGGCCTCTTCCTCCCTGCCGGTGGCCCGAGGGTGGTATCTGTGGGTGCAAGGATGAATTTGTATTGGATGTAGGATGGTCGGTATCAGGGGAGAGACCCTTCCAAGTGAGGGGAGTTGGGGGTGGAGAAGAAGGGAGTTGAGTGGAGAGTTGGGACTGGAGGTGACACATCAGTGCTGTCCCACTGCCTCCTGCCATCAAGCTTCAAGGAGACTTAGAGTTCTAAGTTTGCCACTGACTTTCCAGTTACCAAACTAGGGTGTGTGTGTGTGTGCACATGCGTGCATATACATTCATACACATGTGCACGAGTGTGTGTGCTGAGGATTAAACCCCAGGCCTTTTTAAATGCAAAGCACATGTTCCACACAAGCTGTGTTTCCTGTTTTACAGATATCACTTGTGTGTTCTTGCTCCTCTTCCTCAGTATGCTGGGCAAACCTTAGACCTAGGACAGAGCCCTGTCATCCAATTGTAAGCCAGATGATGGAGTCTCAGCAGGACACTATTTTTCTCATCTGCTAGAACACCTGCTAGTATTATGTTAATCCTATGAATTCTGTACAAAGACATCCAGTAATATGCCTCATTATTTTCTAACCCTCTCCCACCATGGTGTAGGGGGTAGGTAGGCCAGGAGTGGGGAGTCCACAGAAACCCCAGTAAGTCACATTGTCCCTTGTTGGGGAAGTCTTATGTCAATAAAGCACTGTTGAGCCAATAGGAATCTAGATAGGTGGGACTAGGAGTCCAGGAGAACTCTGGGAAGGAGAAACACACGGAGAGTCCGGAGAGTCAACATGTAATGCCATGGGGTAGGAAGCCCGGAACTATTCTCTGGTAAGAAACATACTTAGATTAACAATTATGGGGTAATTACTTAAGTCAGAGCTAGCCAGTAAGAAACAAGCAAGGCCAACAGCTTCATAATGAATATAGCCTCCTCTGTGTGTTTATTTGGGACGGATGCGGCTCTAGAACCAGGCTGGCGGGAAGGCATTCTCAAGGAAAAAGCTTCTCTTTACAGTCCCTTATTGAATCCTGGCCATTGTGGTGGAGTTCCCGGCATCTACTTTCTAGCCCAACAGGAAACCACAGGCTCAGATCATAGCCCCAGGACCACCTTGTAGAAATGGCTACCCCAGCAAAATCGGGTAGTGTCCTTTAAACTGCTCCAGTGACTGAAGATGAAGAGGAGACACCCCCCCCCCAACTACACAGCTCTCTATGGCCACCTCCTACCCTAACCTCAGTTCCAAGCAAAAGGCAAGGGTAGCATTTACTGGGAGTCAGTAATTACACAGAACCTAGATGACAGTTATGATGCCCCATACAGGGAGTTGGATAGGTTCAGACTTGGGGTTTCAGGGCACCTGGGTAAGGTTGGGACCTTTTCTCAGCTTCTCCAACATTGGAGATCTCTGCTTTGGGAGGTCCAGGGATCATGAGAAGGCAGGCAGGAGAACAATGTTGGGGTGATGGGAAGGAATCCAGTGGGTAAAACAATACCCCAAATTTGGAACCATTTGAAAAGCTCTAGAATAAATTTTTTCTTTTTTGGTTTTTCGAGACAGGATTTCTCTGTGACTTTGGAGGCTGTCCTGGAACTAGCTCTTGTAGACCAGGGTGGCCTCGAACTCACAGGGATCTGCCTGCCTCTGCCTCCCAAGTGCTGGGATTAAAGGTGCGCCACCACCACCCATCGAAGAAAAATATTTTTAGATGTCTTTTGCCCCCTTTCAAAGACAAGTAAATAAGTTGTCTTAGGGTTGCTATTGCTGTCATTGTTGTGAAACTCCATGACTAAAAGCAGCTTAGGGAGGAAAGGTTTTGTTTGGTTTACAATCCACTGAGGGAAGCCAAGACAGGAATTCACATTGGGCAGGAACTGATACAGAAACCATGGAAGAGTGCTGCTTACTGGCTTGCTCATCTTGCTTTCCTATAGAACCTAGGACTACCAGTCCAGGGGTGGCCCCATCCACAATGGACTGGGCCCTTCCCCATCAATCGATAATTAAGAAAATGCCTACAAATGGATCTGGTGGAGGCATCTTCTCAATTAGGGTTCCCTCCTTTCAGGTGACTATCAAGGACACCTCTCTCTCTCTCTCTCTCTCTCTCTCTCTCTCTCTCTCTCTCTCTCTCTCTCTCTCTCTCTCTCTCTCCTTGGGGACAGGGTCTCATATAGTTGTTTGCCTCAAATGTGATACCCAGCCTAGACTGATCTTGAATTGTCTGAGTGCTAAGAATACAAGCATGTACCACCACACCCAGTTTTATGAAGCCCTGGGGATTTGATCCTGGGCTTCCTGCATGCATGCAGCTCCACACCAGGGTTTCCTCAGCTTTCACAGATCTAAAAAGAAACAAGTGCAGATTGCAGATCTTGCTGCTTCCTCCTTGCCTGGCATGTCTAACCGGCCTAGGGTTAGGAGTTTTCCATATTCCCCCGACAGAAAGCTTTCTTGCAAGAACACCTGGGAATCTTTAGTTGCACAGACTACAGGTGCCAGAGAATCCTGGCATCTGAGAGCCTGTCAGGTGGTCTCCAAGATAAGCCTTCCGTTTTGCAAACGAGGAAAAGTGGAGCCCGGAGTGTCATCACAGAACTCAAGTGTTATCACCAGGATGGAAAAGCAAGCAGCCCCAGTGGTCATCCGGGACTCACAGATATCCTGAGTTTCATCTGCTGGTGTTTCCCCCTGTTCTTGGGTGAGATCTCTGCCAGACGAGCCTCCCATGAGATTCCAGAACGTTCTATGTTCCCTGGTGTCAGGACATGCCTGCCCTTCCTGTTGGTGACCAGTCCTTATGGGCTAGGCATCTGAAAACAGGATGAGACTGCCTGCTGGAGAGCTGGGGACAGCCTCCAGGATGGAATGGCCAGCAGTGGCAAAGCCCTTTGCTGAGGTCACCAACAGACTCAAGGGTATCAGAAACCTGGGGCCTTGGGCATCACAGTTGTCGGGCACTCCCTCACCTCCGCGTGGCCCCTTGTCTCTGATGAGACTAGAAGGACAAGCTCTTTGGGTCGCTTTCCTCCTGGCCCTCTCCCTCCAGCGGCACTGAGCCTGGGTGCTTGTGCGCCTCCCTTTTGGCAGCGCTGTTTTGTTTTGCTTTTTTTCAAAAGTGAGGGAGTGAAGGTGAGAGCCAGCCCAGCCCTAGCTTTCCAACCGCGTTAGGAATTGGAGGCTGTGTGGGTGAGGCTGTTGTTAGTCAAATACAGCGATGGAGTCGCTTTATGGATGGTTCTGGGGAGGCAGGCGGAGAGGTGCAAGCTAAATACGCGTGCCTGGGGTAGAGAGACACCACGAACCCACCGGGTCCCAAAGGTCGCCTTCCACCCGCAGAGCTATGGGTGGCTCCCTCAGCTCTCCAGTTAGCAGGAGGCCAATAAATAGCCTGGGTTCCAGTCTCCTCGGGGTACCAACAGCACCGAGGAGACGACAAAGGGTGGTGCAGTGAGCTTAGGGCTTCCCGTCACCTCCTCCTCGGGAGTCTCCGTCTGTCCACCACGCTCCTCCGGACCGGGCCCCCAGGGTTCCAGCTGTCGGAACCGGAGCCCAGGGCAAGGATCAGCCCGCTAGCTTTTGGGGAAGGGGCGGGGACTGCAAGCGGGACAGCCCACTGCCATTGGCTGGGAAGACAAGGGCGGAGGGCCGAGCGGGGTCGAGTCCCGGGAGCGCGCAGCCGGCCGCAGTCACGCCGCCGTCGGGAGAGCTAGCACCCGAGCGCAGACGCGCCCGCCATGAGGGAGATTGTGCACATCCAGGCGGGCCAGTGCGGGAACCAGATCGGTACCAAGGTGGGCCCGGGCGCGCGTTCCGCTCCCGAGGGTGGGCAGTGAGTGTCGCCGGCCTCGGAAGACCTAGCTTTGCTCCTTGGAGCCAGGCTGACCCTGCGCACCCCTGGGGGAACAAGTCGCGTAGATCCCGCCTTGTATCCCCGCGGCCAGACCCGGGAATCCAGCCCAGAGAGTGGGCCACGGGTCCTGGGATCCAGCTCAAAGTGGGCCACCAGTCCCAGCTGCGGGGTCCACAGAGTGCACACCGAGGACACGATCTGAGAGTGGGCCACCGGTCTCGAAGGGTGCGCCCTCGAGAGCTGGCCCTGGGGAGTGGCCTCCAGGTTCCTGCGGCTGGCCCCGGTGACCCGGCCCGGAGAGTGGGCCACGGATCTCAGCGGACCAACCCGGGGTTCCGACCCTGAGTCTGAAGGCTCGGGGAGCCGGCTCCGCAGAGCTGGCCACAGGTCCCGGGGTGGGGGTGGGGTCCCTGGGTGGCGGGGGCGCCCTGGGCTCCGGGTCACCTCTCTGTCTCTTCGCCTCCCTCTCGCAAGTTTTGGGAAGTGATCAGCGATGAGCACGGCATCGACCCGGCCGGAGGCTACGTGGGCGACTCAGCGCTGCAGCTGGAGCGGATCAGCGTCTACTACAATGAGTCATCGTGTGAGTCGCACGGCTGCGGGCGGTCTCCCCCCGCGCCACCCGACCTCCGGCGCCGGCACCTGGCCTTCCCTGCTGCCTTTCAGGCTTGCCCCGACAGGACCCGACCGTCCCTAGCGGGGACTCCGGGCTACCCAGAGAGGGAGGCGCTCGGGGTGCGATCCCGGCTCCGGGAGAGTTAGCTCAGGGAAAAGTTCGGGCGGGATGGAGTCGATGCGCGGCCACTCCCTCACTCCCCCTGCAGCGGGAAACCCGCCTTAGGTCTTTTCAAACTGTGGGATCCCGCCTATCCTGAAGGCCCGGAGACTTGAACCAGACAATCTGTTGCGGTTGTGAAATCGCCTCAGCACTCCCAGGCCATCCTTTTTCTTAAGCTTTTAAAGAATGCAGCAGAGTTACTGAATGGAAGGAAGCTTTAAATGCTACATTTGTTAGGGATGCTTTTGTTTCAGTGATTATTTTTTTCTGGTCCTTCACCTGAAATTATGTTCGCTTGACGCTAAAACTGCAGACAGCTCTAGTAATTAATGGGGAGATTAGTAAAATTCCAGACCCTGAGTAATCCCAGTTTGGGAATAATAGCGCCACTGTCCTTTGAGCACTATTTTGATAGTAACTTTTATTATAAAAGTGTGACACACACAACTTTCAGAGATGACATGTGCAGGCACTCCCGTGGCATGACATCGATAGTCTCTGGAGTCACCAGGTTTTTAGCCCCTTCCCCTGTTCATCCAGAACTGAGGAGGATGGTAGACATGAATCATGGGATGTTGTTCACTTAAGTAGACCTGGAAGAGAAACTCCAGTGTACCCATCATTTCCTCTTAAACATGTGTGACCTCTGTGACACCCTTTCCTCAGTCTGGTCATGTGTGGAGCCAAGCAGGATTGGTGGGGACCACTTCACTTCCTCCTTTGAACCCATCCTCACTGGGAACTACAGCTTGCCCTGGTGTCATGCAGGACTACACAGGCATGCTCGTACTTTTTTTTTTTTTTTTTTTTTTTTTTTTTGGTTTTTATGAGACAGGGTTTCTCTGTATTGTTTTGGAGGCTATCGGTCCAGCCCAGCCTCGAACTCACAGAGATCCACCTGCCTCTGCCTCCCGAGTGCTGGGATTAAAGGTGTGCGCCACCACCGCCTGGCTAGCGTGCTCTTACTTAAATGAGTGAACTTCCAGGGACACAGGATGCCCGGGATGGCACCAGGAGAGCTGCTCAGACAGCCCGAATGCACATACATTCACACATATGAATGGGGGAAGGTCAGTTTGCTGCTGCAGACCGTGTTCATTTCCTGTCGCTAGAGAAGAACTGCTGTGTAATGGGAACCGAGGGTCAGGTGAACTGGAAAATGCAGTAAGCAGGAGGGTCGATTTCTCACTGGTTCTGCCTCGTCCTCATCCCAGGGTTAAGATTCCTTGAGAGAAAGCACAGTAGCCTGTCTGAAAAGGCGCTGGTTACCCCAGACAGGCGGCTCTGAGCTGGTGGGACTTGCTGAAAAGAAGTCGGTTTTCCCAGAAACCAGGAAGTAACTCTTGTGGGCTTTTCCCCTCTCCAGCTCAGAAGTATGTGCCCAGGGCTGCTCTGGTGGACTTGGAGCCGGGCACCATGGACAGTGTGAGGTCTGGGCCTTTTGGGCAGCTCTTCCGGCCTGACAACTTCATCTTCGGTAGGTTGTGTCTTGTTTGTTTGCTTTTCTCACTTATCGTTTCGTGTTTATTTGTTTATTGAGCTGACTGGGGTTGAACCCCGGCTTGGGATTGGGACTGTCCACTTGTGGCGCCCTGTACATAGTCAAAAGGCTTCAGAGTTTGGAGCATTCTGAAGTTTTAAGCTAGGGATGCTGAGCCTTACTCGTGAAAGGCAGAGTGTATTCCAGGGAAATGGAAGAATTCTAAGGGTGATTCTTGACCTACAAGTGTTACAGAGAGTGAATGTGTCATAAGAAATCTGTGTCCCGGCCCCCTCTTCAGAAGGCCGGGTAGACACAGGCAATTCTGTTACCTGAACCATTGCTGAGAGGAAATAATGGGAGCTCCAGTATTCCCTGTGAAGTTGAGTAGCCATAGACCAAAGTCATTTAAATAATCAAGTCAAAACACGAGATGTCACTGCGTTTAAAAACAAAACACTGCTTTGAGGGGTGTTGTAGCGCATACCAATGCTGTACCCCCAGCATTGGGGAGGCAGAGGTAGGTGAATCTCTTGAGTTGAGGTCAGCCAGAGCTACATAGGCCCTATCTGAAGAATGGGAGAAAGAGAAGGTATTGGAGTCAGTCAGAATAAGCAGACAGGGTCACAGTCAAGAGTCTAGTACACTGCCACCAGCCCTCTGGCCCCTCCGCTCCCCACACAACTTTAGGCTGGCTTTCTAACCTTCATGGGGACTGTCTAGTCCTTAGTGAGACAGAATTGAATGGGTAGGTCTGTAGGATGTCACAGAAGTGCTCCCACATGGAAACTGCGATTTTGCCTCCCACAAAGCTTTTGTGCTTGGTTCTGTTCTAAAGAAGGGAGAAGATCGTGTGTGTGCACGCCTGTAATCCAGTGCACACCTGTAATCCCAGCACTCAGAGGTGGAAGCAGTGAGGGTCAAGAGATCTGGCTACCTCAGGAGCTTGAAACCAACCTAGAGCTACATGAGATCCTGTCTCAAACACAGCAGAAGAACCTTGGGTGACACTTGCTATGGCAGGAAAGAGTGGCCTGCTCTACACAGATTGGTACCGAACAACTTCCAGTTAGTAAGTCCTGTAGTTTTGGCAGCAAGTTTCACTGGGCCCGTCCTGGGTGCTGTGTAGCCCGGAAGAGACACAGGACGGTCACCATGGCTCTGTGTGTTTACCTTATCTGAGCTCCTTCAGCTCATGGTCTGAGGGGGCAGATGGAGCCCTTCCCCGGTATCTGACAGGAAGGGCCCCGTCAAGAACCTTGAAGTGCTGACCTCTTCTGAGAATCTGAGTTGAGGTAATGGCAGTGGGTAAAGCCCTTGCCTTAGCCTGAGCAGAGTTCAAGCCCCGGAGCCCACCTGGAGGCAGACACGGGAGCGACATGGAGATGAGAGGAGGGTGCAGGACTAGGCAGAAGCCCGCAGGCCGGGAGCCTGGAGGTTGAAGCAGTGAGAGATTTTATCTCACATAAATGAAAGATTGTCTCTGGCCTCCGCAGGTGTGCACAGGGGCTTCCCCCGCCCCCCGCCCCCCCATGAGCAGTGTTGGCAGTGTTTTCAGGTGTTCTGGCAAGGATGCACAGATTGGTAGTGATTGAGACAGTAGCCACAGCTGGCTTCAAACTCAATGTGTAGCCGAAGGTGACTTTTTTTTTCTTTCATATTTTTTTATTTAACTTTTTATACATGTCACTCTCAGTTCCCTCTCCCTCCCCTCCTCCCCCAGAAGATGACTTTGAACTGAGCCTCCTGCCTCCCCCTCACAGCAGCTGGGATTAGAGCCGATGGCCTTCATGCCTGGTTGATGCTGTGTGGGGAGGGGTACAGCGCGGCCCTTCACAGGTACAGTCAGCTGGGAGGCGGATTCAGTTAGGCTGAGGACCCATTTCACTCTGGGTTTCTGGCAACTAAATTCACCCCACCCCCTGCAATTAAATCCAAGAAAGGAAGTGACCCCATGTCTCTGCCCCTGAAAGAGAGTTTACATGCCCCTCCATTGTAGACCAGTGTTTATTTTTAATTCTTACTTTGCCTTTATTTCCAGTAAAATCCAGCACAATCATTATCAAAAATAAATTATAAGTCAGGTGCCACGCACCTTTAATCCTAGGAAAGTCAGAGAAGGGTGGATGTCTGAATTTGAGGCCAGCCTTGTCTACAGAGCGAGTTCTAGGGCAGACAAGGCTATGGAGAAAGACCCTGTCTCAAAAGAAAAAAGTACCAAAACCATTTCACCTGCTGCCCATCTCCATGTAATCAGAGTCAGCTTTGGGGACTGCCTTAACCTGTCTTTATTCCTGTAGTCTTCTGTTTTAATTATACCATTACGTAGATATTGTTTTTCACTGAATAGTATAAACCGTGCTCCATTCTTGGTGTGTAGTTCTAGGATCTGTGGTTTTAATTGGTACATAATGTAATTAGTGGTAACTAATTCTCAGCTTTATGAGGCCAGCTCCCAATAGCCATTTGACGAGGAGGCAGTGTTTGCTCTTATAAAGAATACAGTAATAAGGTGGCGGGGAAGAGGGCTTCACTGGCTTGCTTTGTAAGCACGAGGACCTGAATTCAGGTCCCCGACAGCCCAGCACTCCAGTGCTGCCTGTACTCCCAGTGCCAGGGGATGGAGCCGGGTGGACACCTGGGGTTTATTCAGCTAGCCAGTCTAGCCAAATGGGAGAGTTCCAGTTAAGTCAGAGACCCGGTGGAGGAAGAGACCCAGCATGGCTCTCTGGCCTCCACTCACGCATACACCCACACACCCACACGCATGTGTGCACACACAGAATACTGTCGTGATCCGGGAGTGGTGACATGGGCCTAGAATCCCAGAACTTTGCATGCCGAGGCAGAGAGTTTGGGAGTTTGAAGCCAGTCTGGGCTGTGTGAGACCGTGCCTTAAACAAGCAGACAAAAGAAGGCCGTGAGAACTGAGGATGCTGGCTTAGTGGTCAGGAGCACCTGCTGTTCAGCTAAGAGAACCAGAGCTTGGATCTCAGCCCTCACACACCAAGCCTAGCATCCCACACATACTTGTAACAGAAACTCCGAGAGGCGTAGAGACAGGAGGATTACTGGGACTTGCTGACTTCCAGCCTGGGGAGTGGAGGGGAAACAGAACAACGTAAGCTCCAGGTTCAGAGAGGGATCCTGCCAAAGTGGACAGAGAGTCATAGATAACCAGCACCTTCTCTGGCCTCTGCGAATGCATGTGTTCCCACATGCATGCACTCACACACATAGGAGCGCACATAAATCATTTTAGAAAAAGAACATGAGCATATTGGCCCACAGAAGTTCTTTTCTGACTTTGATTTCTGAGTAGACTCTTAAAGTATAATAAGCAGTTAGGAAGACTTGGCCAGGCTTCCCATGGGATAAGTGCTACCACAGTACATACAACTTACCTCTGCCTTTACCTGAACTTAAACTTGATACTTATCCTAGCAGTGACGGTAGTGCTCTTAGAACTGCTTTATCAGGATTGGGGTGTGGCTTGGTGGCAGAGTGCATGCTTAGGACCACAAAAATAAACCAGGGGAAAAAAGTTATAGAAATCACCAAAACAAACCTGAAAGTGGCTGTTCTGTGTATAGTGTCTGTGCCGAAAAGAGAACCTTAGACACAGCTCACGAGGCTCACCCCAGAGAAACCTGAAGATCCATGTTCAAATAGCTGTCCAATACTTCCCGTGAGGAAGGCACATACCCCATCCCTGCTCTTTGAGAGAACACAGGAAGCTTGTTTCAGGCTCTGCACAGTTTATGATGTTCCAGTTACATTGGGATTTCTAGAATGTCGATGGTGTCTGTCTCACATGGGTAGCAGAAGTGTGGGTGGTCACCATGTTATTATCCGTAACCTTTTACATGTCTTCAGTCTGTTGTAAAGACAAGGAGGATCCCTGGTACCCGCTAGCCAGCCAGTGCAGCTGAGTCAGTCATCTCTAGGTTTGGTGTGAGCTTGTCCAAAAACACTAAGAGTGAGGGAGGAAGACACTTCAACCTCTGGCCTGGACACTGCCCACCCTACCACCCTACACTGTACACAGTGTGCATGCGCACACATACGAAGAAGAAAATGACATTTGTCATTTAAAGCTCTCCCCAAATTCACTGGCTGGCCTGGAACTTGATTCTACCACACCCAGGCTTATATTTTTTCATTTCTATTTGGGGGTGTATATATGGGTACCCACAAAGGCCAGAAGGTGTTGAATCCTCTGGAGCAGCTGTGAGCCACCTGGTGTGGATATCAGGCATTGAACCCGGGTCCTCTGGAAGAGCAGCAGTCGGTGTTCTTAACCACTGAACTATCTTTTCAGTGTCGTGTCTCCCCCCCCCCCACTCTCTGTTAAGAATGTATCTATTTGAAAAAGGGACTCACTATGTAGCCCTGGCTCGCCTGGAACTTTCTATAGAGACTAGGAGCTCTGCTTGCCTCTCCCTCCCAAGAACTGGGACTAAAGGCTATGCCACCATGCTTTTAACCTCTGAGCCATCTCTCCATCCCCAAGAAATCCTGTCTTTAAAAAACAAAAATTGTCACTTGTCTAGAATGCTTGTTTTCAATTTCTTCTTTGTTACGGCTATACCAATGGGCCAGTGAACTCATGCTCAGACTTTTCTGTGGATTCTGGGGATCTGAACTCATGTCCTCATTCGAAATTGTCTAATTACAGCTGACTCAGGGATGGTTCATTTTTGCTGGTTCCAAGCTCTTGGGCAGCTTTGGTAAATTATAAAATAGACCATGGTCAAGCAGGGCTTAGTGAGCAGAAGAGTGTGTGTGAGGACCTGTCTGTCCCCAGTACCAAAAGACTGAATCAATAACCCCGTGTCATTTCAGTTCTAGAATAGCTTGAAATGGTTTAAAGAATACAACTGGTGTTGGGTGTAGTGACACAAGCCTTTTGTCCCAGCACGTGGGAGGCAGAGGCAGGTGGATCTCTGAGTTTGAGGTCAGCCTGGTCTACCTAGTGAGTTCCAGGATAGCCAAAGCTACCTAGTGAGACCCGTTAAAAAAAAAACAAAAACAAAAACAAGGGTGTTGGGGGGGAGCTAATTTGCATCAGTAATATATAATTTTAAAAAGTGAGAGTTACTTACATTTGAGTTCCCAGTGATGTGATCATATGCTTTCTAAGCTGCTTTTCTTAATTGCTGGTTGCACAGCAGTCATGCCAGGGAGACTGGGAAGGAAGCTAAGTGCCAGACAGGCTGTTTCCTTAGAGCCCCTTTGTGGATCTGTAGTTTTCCTTCAGATGGAGGACTAGCTACGGAGCCAGGGAGCACAGAGAGCTGGAATACTTAGTTTTTCAACTAGCGTGAGTTGGAGGAAAACCAGAGGGAGGACTGTGAGGAAACCCTAGGCGCCCGCAGTGCGCCTGCCAAGCCTCAGGGTTCTGCAGCCTGTGTTTAACAAGCTGGAGTCACTGATTAATGGCCCAATGCATCATGTAGCCGTTCAACTTATGACCCCCAAATATTTAAGCAGAGATGATGTGTTGCTATGAGACAGTGGCAAAATATTTTTAAAAGTCGCCAGCTTCCTCCTTTTGTCTAGAGTAGAGACTACTTTGGGGCTAATCTGTGCTATGAATAGGGAGGAATCTGAGTCGCCGGGAGAGTTCAGACTCGCTGTAACACCTACAGCTTTGAGGGGTTTGATGTGAGGTCCTGCGCCTTGCGTGCAGCTGCCTTCTGTGTCCTCTGCTCTTTGAATGAGCAGGGGCTCCGGCAGTGTGCAGTCCTCCTGTAGAGCAGCGAGGGGTCCACACTGAGTCCCCAGTGCAAGGTCAAGCCTGCATTCCAAGTTGCTCCCAGGGTTTGTTCTTCTCATGGCCTGTCTTGGACTCTGGCCTGCTGCTGCCTTGTGTGGGAGGGGCAGACACGAGTTTGTGGGTGCTCAGGGAGACAACGATTATCTGTGCTGCCCAGTGTTTTGTCGTCTTGACTAAAGCTAGAGTCATTTGGGATTAGAGAATTATAGTTGGGAAAATCCCCCCATCAGGGGACCTCTCTCTCTCTCTCTCTCTCTCTCTCTCTCTCTCTCTCTCTCTCTCTCTCTCTCTCTCTCTCTCTCTCTCTCTCTCTCTCTCTCTCTCTCGGTTTTACGAGACAAGGTTTCTCTTTGTAGCTTTGGAACCTATCCTGGCACTTGCTCTGTAGACAAAGCTGGCCTCAAACTCGCAGATCTCTGAGTTCCAGGCCATCCTGGTCTACAAATGAGTTCCAGAACAGGCTCCAAAGCCACACCGAAACCCTGTCTCAAAAAACCCAGCCTGGTCTAACTAAGGGGCTGCAGGATGCCAGGGAGACCCTGTCTCAAAACAAATTATTATCTTGAGAAGACTAAATATTTGTAGCCTGCCGGTAGTGGCACATGTTTTTAGGTGGGAGGCAGAGATAGGTGGATCTTTGAGTTCAAGGCCATCCTGGTCTACAGAGCAAGTTCCAGGACAGCCGAGGCTACACAGAGAAACCCTGTCTTGAACCCCTCCCCCAAAAAAGTGTTTGTATATAGTGCAGGTTTCAAATCCTTTACCCAAAAAGTCCTTGAAACCAGAATTTTTTTGGCATGTTGAAATATTTTCGTTTGTCTAAGAAGCTTCCTTCCTGGTGGGATAGAAAACATGAGTTATGTTTACTGTACACTTTATACCCAGAACCTGAAGGTTCCATACAGTATTTACAGTGCTTCTGCATTTTGACTGACCTTTCACATGAGGTCAGGTATGGAATTTTCCACCCGTGCCATCAGTATTCAAAAAGTCTGGGGTTTTGCAAAGTTCAGAAAACTCAAAAGAGGGAAGGTAAATAACTGATGTGCCTATCAGAGCCTGACTTGTTGGGGCTACGTGAGTTTGAGGCCAGCCTGGGCTACATAAGTAGGCTGATTCAAAACAAAAGAAAATTACATTACCAGGTCAAGACAAATGTATCTTAAACTTTTATATATAGATTTATATTCATCATTAGTTATTGTCCTGGGGTTGACTCCAGGTCCGGGACCTCTGCATGCTAAGTGCGCCCGTCTAATGAGAGGCCCCACCCCTGTGTACATAGTTGACCTGTCTAAAGAGGTCTGCTCATGTTTTCTAGCCACTGTGGTGGGAACCTGTTACCCGGTTCCTGTTCTTTGCTCTAATCTCTTACACTCAGAAAACATTGATTGCGGAAAGCAGGTCACTGACGTCCCCTCTGGAATATTGCCGTCTTGCAGGACAGACGGGCGCCGGGAACAACTGGGCCAAGGGCCACTACACTGAGGGCGCGGAGCTGGTGGACTCGGTGCTGGATGTGATTCGCAAGGAGTGCGAACACTGCGACTGCCTGCAGGGCTTCCAGCTCACGCACTCACTGGGCGGCGGCACGGGCTCAGGCATGGGCACCCTGCTCATCAGCAAGATCCGGGAGGAGTACCCGGACCGCATCATGAACACCTTCAGCGTCATGCCGTCGCCCAAGGTCTCAGACACCGTGGTGGAGCCCTACAACGCCACATTGTCGGTGCACCAGCTGGTGGAGAACACCGACGAGACCTACTGCATTGACAACGAGGCCCTCTACGACATCTGCTTCCGCACTCTCAAGCTGACCACACCCACCTACGGGGACCTCAACCACCTGGTGTCTGCCACCATGAGCGGTGTCACCACATCGCTGCGTTTCCCCGGCCAGCTCAACGCTGACCTGCGCAAGCTGGCCGTGAACATGGTGCCCTTCCCACGCCTGCACTTCTTCATGCCCGGCTTCGCCCCACTCACAGCCCGGGGCAGTCAGCAGTACCGTGCCCTGACCGTGCCCGAGCTCACACAGCAGATGTTCGATGCCAAGAACATGATGGCTGCCTGCGACCCGCGCCACGGCCGCTACCTGACCGTCGCCACCGTCTTCCGGGGCCCCATGTCCATGAAGGAGGTGGACGAGCAGATGCTGGCCATCCAGAACAAGAATAGCAGCTACTTTGTGGAGTGGATCCCCAACAACGTCAAAGTGGCGGTGTGTGACATCCCACCCCGGGGCCTGAAGATGGCTTCCACCTTCATTGGCAATAGCACTGCCATCCAGGAGCTATTCAAGCGCATCTCTGAGCAGTTCTCGGCCATGTTCCGCCGCAAGGCCTTTCTGCACTGGTTCACCGGCGAGGGCATGGATGAGCTGGAGTTCACCGAGGCCGAGAGTAACATGAACGACCTGGTGTCCGAGTACCAGCAGTATCAGGACGCCACGGTCAACGACGGGGAAGAAGCTTTTGAAGATGAGGATGAAGAAGAGATAAACGAATAGATGCTCTTTTCTTAGCCCTGATGGTGTGAGCATGGTGCCCTCTCAACCAAACACACGGCACTGTTCCCCAGGTTATCTGGAACAGGGCACTTTGCTTTACCCGACCATTGGCAGTCCCACCAGACCAGGGTGGTTTTTGTACAGGAACACTGAAAGCAAAGATAGGGGGCTGTAAAAGGCTGAAGACAGAGACCACCTTCCGTTAAGTGCCCAGCCATCAGAGTTAGCAGGGAAGTTAGAATAAGGATTTGTTTCTTCCTTGGTGATAAAAACTAAAGCACCGCAGTGTTGCCTTAATTGAATACACAAGATGGAACTTTGTGACAATCCATTCATAATAAAGTGCTAAACCTGTCCTTTGGTGTCTTGAGCTTCATCAAAGCAATGTGATATGTAGTTCTCATTTTTCAGAAACCGATTTTGTGAGCTGTTTGGAGGAGGGCCTGCTGTGGGTCAGGCTTTAACTGGTAGCACACAGCTAAGCCTTGCCACACCCATTCCTGTGCAGGTGAGGTGGGTACCAGACACCGCCATCTGTGCAACTTCGTTGTTTACCCAACACAGGGGAGACACCACTCTCCTGCCCCTGGGTCTCACAGGCTTGCCAGGACAGTGGCGCCTCTATTGTTCTTGTGAGCCAGGGAGGGCAGGAGAAACCCTGGCACTCGGCTTGCTGCAGGCATAGCAGCTGTAGGGCTAAAGGTCGCCACTTTACCTGCTTGAAAACTTAGGTCCTACAGGGAAGCTAAGAACTTGCCGCTCTGAGCTCCAGGTTAAGGGCAGCCGAGCCCAGACGGCACAGGGACCAGCTCAGGGAAAACCTAGCTGACATAGGCATCGCAGTGCTCCCAGGGACTGACTCTCAGATCCAACAGCACCAGTCCATTACATGGATCTGGAAGGCTGCAGCTTGTTGTGAGAGCTGACCTTCAAAAACGAAGATCACTTAATTTCTTGACACTGTTTTCTAAACATAAGCACAGCATGGTGACCCTTCACATGTTCAGGAAAAAAAGTACAATGTCCACCTTTATTTCTGATGTAAAGAATCCATATTTACACAATACATTCATGTTTTTTAAATATGTTACAGTTCTCTATAGAAAACCATTCCATTAAAACAGCAGTAAGTGATCTGAATTCAAATTTTAAAATATTTGCTTGAATCAAAATATTATTGCGACTCCAACTGAATTTCACACAGCACTCTTGTAGAGAGATCAAAGGAGAGGGATGGAGAGTGGGTAACGGGGAAACATTCTTCTACATGTAATAGAGCCCACAGGACAGTCTTGGCAGGTGGTGCTCTCGCCCCTGCTCCACTGTTCCTCAGGCCAAGGCTGAAGGCAGGAGAGTCCCCTCAGAGTCCAGGGCGGTTGCTGGCACTCCTGCAGCCTCGGTGGAGGCCCTCCGCTCAGCTGGCTGAGTCAGCAGCCGGCTTTGCACCAGGGCCGTTGTTCTGAAGGAGGCTGCTGCTGGAACTGCACACTGAAGCCCAGGGAGGACAAGGTAAAGCAGCTTCCGGCCCTGGGCCTAGCTGACCACCTTCTCGTTCAGGGGCTCATCTTTCTCTTTCTCCTTCTTCTCCCGCTCCTTGTTCCAATCCTGCAGGCCCTCAGGAAGTGAAGTGTCCTCATCCAAGCTGCCAGTGCCTTCTACAAATTCTTCATACGTGGATTTTTCAGCAAATGGTCTGGGGCCCAGAAGTTCAACCATATCATTCTTATCTAATACTTCCTTTTCTAACAGTAATAGAGCAACCTGAAAGACAAGCAATTTCCATTGAAAGTTACTTAGCAAAATTCACTCAAAGTTAAAACTTTTACTTATAGCTTACTTCATTCTAGTGAAAACCTAAGGGCTTGGAAGATTAACTCTCATTCAGAGCACTTGCTGCTCCTGCTGAGGACATAGGTTTGGTTCTTGTCACTCTTGTTCCAAGGGATCTAATTCCCTCTCTGGTCTTTAAGAACACCAGACACACACATTGTACACACATGTACATTCATGCAAACACTCGTTAAAATACTTTAATATTAAAAAGTAAAACATAAGCCAGTCAGTGGTACACACCTTTAATCCCAGCACTTGGGAGGCAGAAGCAGTCGGATCTCTGAGTTCAAGGCCAGCCTGATCTACAGAGCTAGTTCTTAGGACAGCCAAATCTATACAGAGAAACCCTGTCTTGAAAAACCAAAAAAAAAAAAAAAAAAAAAAAAAAAACCCTAAGACAACTGAACACATCTCACAAATAAGATATTTTTTTAGAGTACGGTGTGCAATATACGGACATCACAAATGTCTGTCATAGGCAAACACATTTGTGTACAGCTACACAATTAAGAATGATGTCACTGTAATAAAGGAATGTGCACACTTCTCTGAAAGTAAGAGCAGCACAAATGTGCAGCGCAGGCCACGGCTGCTGTTAGGAGGGAGAGTGGATACGGGCTGTTAGGAGGGAAGAGTGGACACGGGCTGTTAGGATGGAAGAGTGGACACGGGCTGTTAGGAGGGAAGAGTGGACACGGGCTGTTAGGAGGGAAGAGTGGACACAGGCTGTTAGGATGGAGAGTGGATACGGGCTGTTAGGAGGGAGAGTGGACACGGGCTGTTAGCAGGCTGTCACCTGGGGGCTGTTCCTCATCTGAAACATGCAAAACTGGCTGAGTGCACTTCTCACTGGACTCATTCACTCACTCCTGAATGGACTCAGGAGTAACGAAGGCTTCAGGAATCCCTCTAAGGTCACCTCTGATGCAAGTGCGCAGTGCAGTCAGGGGGAAGCATTGAAAACTTAACTCTTACCAGGGACATCTGCTCCTACAGACCGGCCACTGTCACCCACACAGCACTGGTCACATCCCAAGTGCCTGGTAACTACCCACAGCTATCAAGGACACAGCCGAGTGGAGAGGTGACTTGCAAAGGCTGTCACTCACAACCTTTAACGTTGACCTCTCTACATTGTTTCTTTACTGTAAGTGGTGACATGACACCAGGAACCTCAGGAGGTTGCAGACTTAGCTGGTGCTGTGTTACCTAGTTCCCCTGATCCTGAAGAAGGGCCCTGAACAACCTGTCCAAGTCCTCACTCCACAGGGTGCAAACTGAGTCCCTGAGCAAAGGCCTCAAGCCCTCTCCTCTCAGTAGCCTGGTCCCCTGACTGGCTCAACAATCCTCATCGCTTCCTTTTCTCTGCTGGGTCAGAAAGAACTTGTGTGTGACAGGATCCTTACCCTGCTCAGCTCAGTTCCTTCCACCAAACATTTCTTTGAACACACTGAGTACAAGCAGTCTGGGCATGGGTAAGAGAGGGTGCCCTCTCCATCTCTCCCCCTCCCCCATGATGTCTGCAACCTCTCTGCCAGCACAGAGCTAGTAAGACCGATTCTGGCAGCTTCCCCTTATTTCAACGACTCCTTTCATGGGGATTCTGGCAAATCTCGCGTGGAATGAGGCTGGCCGTAACGTTTTCCTTTGCTTGTTCACAGACTTTCCTCACCTAACATACAAACCAGAACATTGCTGCTTCTGTTCACCAGGCACAGGGAAGACACTCAGCACCAGAGGAAAGAACACAGGAGGTAGTCGGGAGAAAGGGATGCCTGAGTCTAGACACCAACTAAATCATCTGCAGAAAGCCAGACATGGTGACTCATTCCTGCAATTGCAGGACTCAGGAGACAGAGGCAGGAGAGTCACAGCAAGACTGGTACCAGCCTGCTCTACATGAGTTCCAGACCAGCCGGGGTCACACAGCAAAATCCTGTCTCAAAAAACCAATGAGGCTGGCAAGAAGGCTGAGCAAGTAAAGGCACTTGCTGAGCAAGCCTGATGATCTAAATTTAACCCCTGGAACCCACATAGAGGTGGAAGGAGAGAACCAACTCCACAGAGTTATAATTTGATTGACATTCGTGTGCATGATTCACTTGTGAGCACGTGCTCACGCGCATACAACCCACACACTTCTGTGGAGAATCATCCACATGCTGGCACCTACCTTCTCCACGTCAGCCTTCTTCTCTGTGAGAAGAGCCACAGTTCTTTTATAGGCATCGTTAATGAGTATTCTCACTTCATCATCTATCATCCTCGCAGTGGCTTCACTGTAAGGCTTCTCTAGTACCATGTCCCCCTGGCGTGGGAGGTCAAACGAGATCTGCCCCACCTTCTCATTCATGCCGAACTGAACAATCTGGAAAAGACCCATGACTATAAGGTTAGATAAGAGAACCTTTACCTTATTTTCCCCTAAGATAGAGTTTCTCTGTGTATCTTTGGAGGCTGTCCTGGAACTCACTTTATAGACCAGGCTGGTCTCAAACTCACATAGACCAACCTGCCTCTGCCTCCCAAGTGCTGGAATTAAAGGTGTGCCACCACCAACTGGTAAGACTTACAGCAGCCAGGGGCTGTCGGAGTGAACAAAGATACTCTGTAGATGGTGGCCCAAAGTAGCAGTATGATTAAAACTTATATGGGAGCACAATCAGGACAAAATGAGCGGACAAACAGTGGGCAAACTACAGCAGCTCTGAAGACTGCAGGCTACCCCACTTGTGGAGGGTGTGAGAAGCAAGAAGCACTTGATACTGCTGGGTGGTGGTGGCTCACACCTTTAATCCCAGCACTCAGGAGGCAGAGGTAGGCGAATCTCTGTGAATTCCAGGCCAGCCTGGTCTACAGAGCAAGTCCCAGGACGGTCAGAGCAACAAGGAGAAACCTTATCTTTTTTTTTTTTTTTTTTTTTTTTTGGTTTTTCGAGACAGGGTTTCTCTGTGGCTTTGGAGGCTGTCCTGGAACTAGCTCTTGTAGACCAGGCTGGCCTCGAACTCACAGAGATCCGCCTGCCTCTGCCTCCCAAGTGCTGGGATTAAAGGCGTGCGCCACCAACGCCCAGCTGAGAAACCTTATCTTAAAAGACCAAAAAGCTCTTGGTAAGATCAAACTGCCAACAGGTTCTCCTGTGGAAGACAGTCTAAACCGGAGATCACGTAACACATGATGACATCTGCATTTTTTCCACAAACTGTGTCCATGGAGCCATGGGACAACGTGAAGTGACAGATGTACTGTGACTCTTGTGAGGCTCCCAAACTAGATAGCACTGCTTGAGTGAGAAGCCTTCAGAAGTAAAATCCAAAGTGAGTTGAAGAGAAGGACCAGGGCTGGAGAGGTGCTCAGTGGATAAGAGCACTGTATGCTCCTCCAGAGGACCCGGGCTCGGTTCCCAGAACCCACATGGAGGCTCTCTACCATCTGTAACTCAGTTCCTAGGGATCTGAGGCGGCTTCTGACCTCTGCATGTACCAGGCATGTACATGGTGCACAGACACACATGCAGGAATAA